AGGGGAAAATTATTTAATGTTTTGAGCCGAATCAAATTAATTTATTTTTATTAATTTTGAATGAGGAAATATTGCTTATCCATTTTACTTTTTAAATATTAGAATGAATATTATTATAAAATTATATCATTTTAATAAACACTTATTGAAAAAAACTAAAATATTATATTTTTAAAACATGAATTATGATATTTTTTATCTTTTATACTCTTAATTTTTTAAAAATAAAATGGACAAACACTAATCCCTTCGAATAATTTGTATATTTAGATAATTATGAAATTATACTAAATATTTTACGGGCTAATTCATAATTTTAGGTACATTATCTACTGGAATTGTGAAGTCACAATATTATGCGCATAATGAAGCCATTCATGTCCTCGATCACAAGCGTTGACTGCCAAGGCACTTTCAATATTTTCTATGGTGATGGTGTAGAATTTTGTTATAAATCAACAAGTAAAATAGAACATGAGAAGAAGAGGTTTCTGGGGTGTGGTTAAAAATACCTAATCCAAATATTTTGTTATGTTAAACACTCTCCACAGTCCACACAAACCTACCATAGATTGCACACCATGAAAAATCCATATGTATAGTTCAAAAATCATATCCATAAACATTCGGTCTATGTATATATTCTTGTGCGAACCCAAAATCCCCACAAAATGTTCTTGCTGATCGTCACTAATCAGCTTATGCTGCAAGAGTTTACATTGTCGTCGCGAAACAAGTGAAGCATGGGGTTGCCCCCCTGTGGAGGTTCATTTTTCTTCTGGTAGATATCATATGGATACGGCAGTGGTGGAATTGTTTGCTGAATAGGTGGTGGCTGATAATGTTGTGGCCTTGTTGTCTGGATTGGTGGTGGTGGTTGATGAGGATAAAACGCAGGGTGATGTTGGTACGCAAATGGCTGCTGTAGAGGCTGATGAAGTCCTGGCCGTCGTCGGTACCCAGCTGGGGGCTGCATTGGTGGCCCAGCGAATCTCGGTCCTGGTGGCGGTTGGTACCCAACTGGAGGCAACTGCGACCGCCACCCTGCAAATTCTGGTCCTGGTCCTCCGAAGCCACCCAATGGTCTTGGTTCAATAAATTCCTTTTCTTTCATGCCAGACCGCTGGAAGCTGTCTCCACGGTTATGACCGCCATCAGAACCTTCAAACCCTGCTCCTGGTGGTTGAGTTTGGAAAGTCGACACTCTGGCTTCAACAACATTCCTCTCAGACTTCATGCCCCGCTTCTGGCCACCATCTCTTCTGTCATGATTACCATTACTGCCACCGGAGCAATTAAAACAGGGTTCCTTTCTTCCTCCATTAAGTATCTTGCATTTGTCACTGACTATGTCTAAGTCTACCTTATTGGGCTCCTTCTCATAGAGTAACAACTCCGCCTTTCTGCGCTTCTTTGCTATGGCCTCAATCAGCACGGATGGGTCAACGGCGCCGGAGACAGTAACCAACCCATTTTTTGCATCTACGGTTACAGTCTTAACCCCTACGTGACAAAACAAATTAAACCCAAATAAGTACAAAATATTGCTTCTTATTTTTTGAAGATTCATGAGACTGTTGTATAACATACCATTAATTTTCTCTAACAACTTCTTCAATTTCTTGGGACATGTATCACAACACTGGATATTATTCACTTTAAGAACACAAATCTACAGAGAGGGGAAAAAAAAAAACTCAAAAGGGTTGCGAAGAAAAATCAAAATCGTAAAGAACAGATGCATACCGGAGCAGGTAAGTTGTCTGCCATTGGAAGAGAGAATGAAATCTTTGAAAGAAAAAACTGAGAAACAAGAACAGATGATCATCATATGTTTAACTTATAGTTGGCAATTTGTGAGACCAAAAACATTAATTTTCACTGGAATCTTGATGTTTTGATTTCGATTTCCTTTGGTGATAGGCTTATTTATGAAAAGATCTGAATGGTAGGAAAATCCTAAATACAAAATGCATCTACTATGTTTTCTTTCGGAAAGAATTGATTTAGGTTAAGAATTTTGTATCTTGAGTTTCCATTAATAATCATGATCGTATCGAAGTACAGATTAGGGGTTTCCAAGATTAGAGGAGTTAATCTCGCAGCCAAGATATAATGAATACTGATTAATTGGCACTGTCTGGACGAAAATTTAAACATTGATACACGACCCTGCTGGTTAATACCAAGCAGGTTCTGTTTTTCATTAAATTGTCACAGAGCAAACAGCAATGTCAAGATAAGGTTTGGTCTGAAGAAAAAATTGTAACAAGCAAAAGTATCTAATGCAGATATTTTGATGTTCATTACAATACGCTGAAAGTGAAAAGGTCGACCTATCAATTTCAGCCGCCTCGAGCTTCTCTTCTTGTGGCGTCATGAAGTAATTCCACGTCCACTCCTTCGGGTGGTAGTTGAACATATCTCACAACTGATCCTCTAATGAAACAGTTCCTCACGGAAAGCTGCAACGAATAAGAAAGATCGTCAAAACCAGCAACAGGAAAACAGGAAGACAAGTAAAGAGGTAATATCATTAACTAAACTAACTCACCAAGCTCAAACAACATTAAGAATTGAATTGGTATAAGTGGTCTAATTGAGTCATCCACACCCAATAAATAAGAAAGACAACAAAAGATGCATAATAGGGGATTTACAATACAGTGATATCAAAAAGAAAACATCAATTACCAGCTGAGTGCTTATCCAAAAAAAATACAAGCCGAGCGAAGCATGTCTCTGTTCTTTAAATGATGAACAAAAAAACAAAACAAAAGTAACAATACAAAAAGAAAGGAGAATGAAAAAATAAGGGGGGAAGGGGGATGGGCGACTGGGAGGCGGGACCTAACCTACAATTGATGCCATATTCACACCACAAAGAAGTTTTAATGACATGTTAACAATCACACACTCATAATCGGTAGTAGCATCCAGATTATTAAAAGAACAGATTGTACGAGGTAATTCTTACATTGTCATTCTGCATGGCAGAGGCATGCCTTCATACAAAAGCAAATAAACAAGGACAATACAGACTGAAAGTTGAGAAACTTCAAGCGGTAAGCTCATTTGAGATGCTAAAGAAAGGGCAATGGAGAGAGGGAGAAAAGATTGAAATACTTCAAGTAGAGATAAAAAGGATTTTGGATTTCAAGGTGTTTTGAAACAGGAAAGCTTACTAGAATCAACACTCAATGTGAAGTCCAATAAGTAAAATGTATATTTCTAAGGTTAGGGAAGGCCTCCATCACTTATAAATTATAATGCAAGTACAACTTACTGGGTAAAAACAAACTTAAATCTTACACCAGCATAACATGCAACATCAAAATTCAGCCAAAAAAAATGGTTAACAGAAAAGAAAACCAGAGGATGTGATCTTAGATGCAGAAAAAATTTTGTAATCCCCAAATTCAGATTCCACCTCCAAATCTTATCAACACATCAAAGTAGACACATTACAAGAAAACCGGTTTTCCTGTTAGGAGAGCAGGGAAAAACTAGAAAAACTAGAAAAAAACAGAAGAACTTCAGATGTGCCAAGTCTATTTTTTCTTTCAAATACTCAAATCTCAAGGTCCCATCTCTCCAAAATACTAAATTAAATTATACTAACAATTAGCCATTCACCCGTGTGGCCCCAGTGGCCACACTTCTCATTGAGAAGCAAGGTGAGGGCACCCCTCATGATATGCAGTTTGAGCCCCAGGATTGACACTTCCCTGTCCCCTAAGAGCAGATACTATAATATTATCAATGTAATTACCGTTTTCAAAAAAAAAAAATAAAATAAAATTATTCTACGGATTATTGAGAAGAAACATCCATGTTTTACTGACATCCTGCATAACAACATAATAACTAAGAAACCAAACAAGGTAATTCCAGTAGCATTTAGCAATTAACACTAAAAAATTGTCAAGAAGCAAGAATTGAAGGTTATTTTCCCCCTTAAG